AATATTGAGGCAGTCCGGAAAGGAAGCACATATGACAACAAGAGACTAATAAATTAGTCTTAAATAACAATGGGAAGATACAAGTAAAACAACACCATGTGAATTTAAACTTCATTCGATTGTACAAGAAGGTGGCTATCAGGACTCGGTAGCTAAGTGGATAACACGATGGCGTTTGGAGTAAATAGTACTGGGTTAGAATCTCCGAATGAACATCAACTGTGAGATGCGGGCATATCCAGTTGACTAGTCCTAAATAAGACGAAACGCGAGTCCTGTATTCCATTGCTAACCACTATCCATCTTTGCTTAAAAAGCTTGTGACATTAAGGCTTTATCGAGGCAATACATACAGGATGCACATATGCCAACATGAGACTGACCAATTACATTCTGAAATAACGATGGGAAGATACAAGTAAAACACTAAGTGTATCAAAATTTACTTGACTAATTTATTAATCATTATCAAGAAGGTACAAGTATTTATAATTAGTTGTTTAAGAAAGATACTCATCATCCGGATATCATCAGGAACAGTATACTGTAGGAGAGGATAAACGAGCTTCCATCTTAAAGGGAAATTAATAAAACATCTTGGAAGTGGATTACACATACATTGAAGAAATTATCAAACTACATCACGAAGCAAGCGCTAGTTTATAATCCTGAAATCAAACGCAAAACAAGAAGGCCAAAGAACACACTACGTCAGAAATTGAAATCAGACATGAAAAAGATGAATAACAACTGGAAAGGGTTGTCCATGATAGAGTTTGATTGAGAATACTTGTGAGCGGCCTATGTTTCTCTACGATGGGTTCAGAGTTACTATTGATTCAACTTTTTCTTTCAACTGTAATCATTATGTTTAATGCATCAAAATCAGTCTACTCATCTGTTATAATCTCTTTCTTACAGTTATGACCCAGCTATTCGTATTGCTTAGTATTCTCGGACACCGATTCACTCGACAAGTCCCCCAAATCAGAACACGATTGAACAGGAACGAGATTATATTCCAAATAACAAGTTTAGATGCAAGTAAGAAACACAATAGGGAAAACGTTAGTATATTTATAGTTTTTACATAAGAAGATTCCAGAGTATTCTGCAACTATCGACTAGTGCTGATTGGATAAGAATTAGCCAATCAGCGCGCATCGAAGCAATCGTGCATTGAACATGCTTTAATCCAATCTATGTCGCACCAACATCATCAAAGTGATTTTGGATATTCTGATCCATCATCCATTATTCACTTTCTTTCTTCATTTCACTATCAGCTGGTTGATAGAAGATAACTGTTTCGTCCTTGTCTATGAGTCTTCAGCAGTGCATACTAATGAATTCTCAAAAGATTAACCTCAGAACCATCAGATATTAAGATGATCATGTTACACTTGAAATACTGTATCAAAATAAATATAATTGATATTGTAGGACATCTGATTTTAACTGGGTATTACCTGAAGATAATTTGCTGTATAAAAAACTTGAAGTTCATATGGTGTTGGATGTGTGAGATTGGAAGAATCAAAATTTCGGAAACATTAACATTCATCCGGAATCATTTTTATAGATTAGTCCAATATCATTACAAATGATACATGTAGTAGCAAAAATGAACATCAAATAATAGCCTCAGTCAGTCAGTCAGTTACAACGTAGGATCAAGCACATATATGCATCCGTCCAAGTTGCCATACCTTATTAGCACAGCAAGATGGAAACCGGATTCAAAGAAGCAGTTAATTCAATGGTGTAGTATATAAAAGAAAGATTACATAGTACAGGAAGAAAGAATTAGTTCGTAGAATGAAAGATATAAGGCAATTATAATCTTATAGTTCAAGGAAAGACAAAAAGTGTATACACCTACGCCATGGTGATCAATCCTCAGCCATGTCACCAAGAGTCTCCAATCATTGGTTACGATAGTCTGGCGGATCCCGACCAAGTAGTCTGCATCTACCAACATGATTAAGACTAGTAGTTAGTGACTTCAATGACTGATGCCACGTTTTGGTTTAGCCAACCCTAACTTTCTTCAAACCATCCCCAACACTAATCAGCATTGCGCGTCATACTAATCGATGCTCAGGCATACGCAACACGTCACCCATCCATCTCAGTTGATGAAGATTCACAACCTCATCAACTGATTTACTATCATCCCCTAATACCCTATCTAACCTCACTATTACTAACCTGATGACCACGGCAGATGCAAGCGATATTCCTAAGACATCTGTGGTCGAATAGTAGTAGCTAACAAATATCTTCTACACTTAATGGCCATGTTTCGCTGTCGTAAAGTGGAACAGAACTAACTGCTGTAAGGTATACTCATTCCTTTAATTGATAGACGGATATCTCACCTTCTCCATAGGTGACGTAAGTTGATAAAAGCCAAACGAGCTTTTCGAATCCGTGCTGGAGGCCTGCTGAACCGCTCCTTAAAATGTTCCGCCCATCGCTCTAAACGTCTGAACTGGGAGCAGATGAGAGTGTCGTCTTTTTCCAAGATAGTCTCACTTACAATTGACTTAATAATTCCAGTCTCTTTTATTAGTCTGTAGAGGTGTCTTGTGTTCCCTATAGCCGCCACCTTTTCCATCTCTTTTACTTTCGTTGCCCACCACTGATCATGGTCGTTCCATAAACTTTTGATTAACCTAAAGCTGTTTTTTACGCCTGATGGGATGAGTTTACGAAAATCCATCAGTGCAATAGACCTTGAAGAAATCCATTGGTTCTTTATAACCCTGTAGTTTAAATCACTGATAGATATCACTGTTGTTTCCACAGCTGCTTTTATATCTTTCCAGGCAACATCTGGGTCAGCCTCGTTCTCAGATCTACCTAAGTGTGACCTCAGTTGTTCCTGGAAACTACTTTTGGTTTTCTCGATATTCAATTCACTTCTAATGGGTCTTTTTACCGTGGCTTTTTGCGTCCAGTGAGGCGCAAGCAGATGAGTGTCCGTATTAGGGCGTGGTGGGAGTTCAAGTAGGTACTCCAGAATGAGCGACAATGTTCTATCGACCCTCTCCAACGATGACTGATGGCAATATGGTCTATTTGAGTTCGTCGTTGGTTTGGTGCAAGGCGGATGCCATGTTAGAAGATGTTTCTCCTTATGCTTAAAATTAGTGTTTGCTAAAAAAAGATTGTCTGAGCACAGTTGCAGCAGACGATCACCATTATCTGTTCGTTGTGCCGGAATACTAAAATACTGTTATAGCCCAAAGCCGCGAATCAGAAGCAGCGAATTATCGATCGGACCAAGGACGCTTAAAACACGTGAGAGCAGCCTACAGTCCTGATTGGTTCTGCTTTCCGCCTAGCCCAGCCAGTTAAGTCCAGAATATTAATCCGAGCCTCTGCAATATGAATCATTATATTTCAAACATGCTGAGTTTATATACCGATCAAACAGACCACAACGTACCAATAAAATATGAAACAACATTTGTACATGAATTAGCCAGATGTGGCTGGGAATGAGGGAGAGAGTGACTAATAGACAGCGACATAGCAAATATCCACCTAAATGCCTTTCTGTTTGGCTTATGCTATCTATCTGGGCGTTAAAGTCACCTCCTACAAGTACTATATCCGAACGTTTAGCTTTCTGAAGAAGTTCAGAAAGCTTTCTGTAAAAGTCATCTTTCACTTCATCTGAGCTGCAGTCAGTGGGAGCGTAGTCAGAAACGACAAAAAGGCAACGACGAGTGTCCCTATCCTTCCGAGTTCTTACGGAGCCGTTTAGCCGAACAGCACATAGACGTCTGTTAACGGGAATCCACTTTAAAAAATAGTGCTTGTTCCGCCCTCATGCTTAGTGTTATGCCTACACCTGCCACTTCTTCAGAAAGCTAAATGCTCAGACATAGTACTCGTAGCAAGTGACTGAATTTTCGATAGCTCATCATTTCATAGTTCTCATTGAATGTTTCTCCAGTTCATCACACTGATTGACACTAGCTAGAGAACTGTTGGAAACACGAAAGTACTACCCAACTATCTCTTTTGTAATTCAAGATTTTTTCAAAGGCCAGATTATCATTTATTTATTTAAAGGTATAAATATTGGGACAAGGAGGCACCGAATACAGATGCGCCAAACAAGCTACTTTATTATTTTTTTTATTATTATTATTAGCTTTATTCAATATTATAATTTTGGTACAATATAGAATTCTCAGCGCAAAGTATTTCAACAAGTTTCCGTTTCTTTCTTCTTGGTCGGTCCTGGCGATAAATATTGAGGAATCCCCAGTTAGATGTTAGCACTTCAGTGAATGAACAACTGAATAATGTACATTCTTTTCGTTGTATATTGCCAGCAACCATATTGTCTCTTATTGAGTTTTCTGTAACTTTGACAACGAAAGGTTGTACACTTTTCAGAAACGCAGCAGAATAGGTTATGCGATTTATAAACATAATGATATATTAAAACAAACAAAAATAGATAACTTGTTGAAATATCTAGATGGCAGGAACAGGTAGCCCAGATGCTCAAGCAGGCCGCCCTACGTGGGCTGTGATACTGCCCAGAATGAGGCAGGTGGTTTGCTTAAGGGGCCACACCCGAGGCAGTGGAGCAACGTAAGAAGATGCAATCCCATGGCAGCCGGTGACTAACAATAGGTTCCTACATCAATATCCTGTAGCCCATGTTCGGAATCAGGGTTTTCCAACTCCCCTACGTGGATTCTCCAAAGCGCTGGAATTCGCTTTCCATCTTTTTAATTTGGTAAACAACACTCTCACCACAAGGAGGTAATGAGTAGAACTTCCCTGAAAGTAGCTGTATACGCGTGACCATATAAGAGCATTTCGTGACAGAGAGCTAGGTCTTTACACTCTCAGCCATATCAGGCTACTTAGGAGTAAAGGCTTGATAAATGACGCCAACGATCATCAATAAACTTATAACTTTCTCTTTCTCAATGACTTTTCTGTTGACACCGACCACTTAGTGAGAGATCGTTTAAGTGAAAAAGACGTTGAATAAAACAATTCGCATATAAATACAAAGATTTAACTATTTAAACAATATATAGTACAAATGATTTTGCAATGAAAAAACAATACTACTTCCATTCTTGACTATTATGATTTCAATTTGGCATAGTAACAAGAGAGATAGAGATAGAGATAGAGGGGGTGAGTGGGTAACACAGTTATTGTTTATATAAAATCTTATCATATTTCATAATAAATCCATGAATTAAATGATGTCCATAAACAAATGCTTTTATTCGATCACCTATAAAAAGACTAAATAATAAAATAGGAAAATATTGTATCCATCCCCACCATAACATATGAAATAGATTTGGATGTGACCTTATTTAAGATGATGATGATTATAAATGTATTCAAAGAAATAAAGAGAGGGGGTAGGGAGAGGGGTGGATGGAAAGAAGTAACTAGGTTAAGGAAAATCATTTCATTGATGATTGAAATCAAATCAAATATAAGCTATATCCTGGTAGAAAAATAAAACAACATTTTATTTTGGAGATTCTTAGACGAAACTGTTGTACTTTCTTATATTCAATGTTGATATTGATATACATGCTTTTGATATGCAAATCTAACAGGTTGATTGAATGAGATGAAAGCTTTATTGACTAACATGGATCGAGAAATATCTGTACACTGTTATACATATATAAGCCATATATTCGATTAACATTTTATGCTTCGTTCTTTAGGAAAGGAAGCCAGAAATTAGCTTGTAACGCGTACTTACTATTTGACCAATTTGTGATTAACACTTCATAGGTTCTTTTGTAGGAATTGAGGGCAGCTACGTTCAACAGATAAACTAACTGAAATTCTAGGAGGTCAATTTCTTCAATACCTTTATACTTTAACATTCTAACAGTTCGTTATAAAAGTTCTGCTTGAATCATGTAATGGATGGTTCTTTTTAAAGTCACTTCGTTAACAATCATTTAAACAGTGAATTGATGATTGTAAGCCAAAAAGGACTACATATGTTCTATGTTTTTATCAACACAGGAGATTGACAATTGTGTAACTCCACCCCCCTCTCACTCTTAACATCATTTTTGAGATCTGTATAGCTTTCAAAGAAATACTAGATTCACTAAAGAATAAAATAGGTCAGAATTGCAGGAACATTAATGCGATATGTCCGTTTCCACAATTGTTACTAGATGAAATGAGTATTTGTAAGATATTAGTTGGAGAGATTTTCAATCAATCGAAAAACTTCATCCATTCTTGGAAGACTGATTTAATCTTTAAGTTTTTGAGGTACCCTATTATGCTACTTATTAATAATCAGTAGGTATGTTATACTCAACCACTTAAATGAGCTAAGCAGTATCTTTCCATTTGTAATAGTATCACTTTCTCCTTCATCTGATATTCTTTAATTACTGTACTCTTTGAAGCTTTATCAATATTGAGCCAATTAGCTACTTTCTAAACTTACTACTTCGTTTATTATCATTAACTGTTGTTTGAGTATGTCTTCGATAGAGTAATTAAACTCAGACATTTCATTGCTCAAACTTTTTAACTCAGTTTAAGATAAGTCTTACCATTTAGTTTCGAGGCTTTTACGCTTAATTAGATCGTGATTATAGAGTCATAAACAAAGCTGATTACGAAATCTTAAATAGTATTCACCTATAAAATGGACTAATACTATAGAAATCAGTTGCACATATAAAAAAAACTGAAAAGACTAAGAGATGTTAGGTGTTTGATGGGATTTTCCAGGAAGATTTATTTCTAATCTTGATGGGTGCTCCTTTTTGGGACTTACCGGGACCCACATCGACCAGTATAACTGTTGGGGACGTTAGATCCCCAAAACTCACTTGGGAAAGGACCTCATTTTGTAATTTTATTTAGAAAATTTGAATTTTTTTGTTTTCGCGCTAAAGGTGCTCTTGTCACCTTCATATCGTATTTCCCAGTTGGGAAATATCTTAAATGTTATTGGTCCGTTGCGTCTTTTAGTATGCTATTTGGTAACTCTCCCCAAGGACTGTTTTGTACTGTATATATATACGTTTTGAATTGTGTTTGTTGTGATCGCTCGTTTCTGACTGTTTGCAGAATATACTTTCTCATTCCAAGCTTGGACTTCTCACTCTAGTTAGCGGGGCTGCGGCGTATCAATAACTACCTTACTGGTCTTTGGTCATCGAGTCTTGTTTATCGTTCGCAGATTAAGTGAAATCGTGATAGCTTATAATGTGTTAACTGAAAATATCAAGTGAATTGTAAAAATCTCCATCTAGAAATTATTGTATAAACAATTTGATCTCTATCAAATAAGAAAACAGACTACTACTAACAAACTAAGTAGTTTAATACTTGTAATTCAGTATATTGTGATAGATTGATAAGGAACAGCCCACGTCCGAATATTACAATTCAGTTGATAAAGAACTGATCATGATTTAAATTCTTTTGCGAAATCTTGTTTTCTTTTAGTATTTCAACAACTCCAATGTCATTTATGAGTAGTACAGTGGTTTAGTGACTAAAACACTTGAATTTCAATTTACCTTTGGCATGTTTGAACCCTGTTCCATATACTCCCCTTTGAATAAACGGAATATGAAGAGGAGTCAACTATATAAAAGTGTACTTGATTATATGAATCAATAATTGATGAGTTTTTGAGTAGTTGATAACTCATTGGTTACAAAGAAATGACTATTACTATGTTGTATATGAAATTTGTCACATTCTGGAATATGAAACTAGACGATGACAGTTTGAACCTTTTAAGGATTATCAGTTCGATTAAGAGTGTAAAGAAAACTTGTTTTTGCAAGTATCATTTAGCACGAAACCTAATTTCATCGAGGTTCTCTGTAGATCATCTTCAGCTGCCCTAATGAACTGTCTTTTTAAATTAGCCAACATTTAAAAAAACAAAAAAACAAATGAACGCATTTACAAAAAAAAGGATACCATACTTTGTTTGGTTTATATAACAAGGTTAAATTTAGCACTAATGGATTTAAGAAATTTGCAGAACCCGGTATCCAAGTTTCATATTTTGGATCAATTTTTAATGTTACTAAAAAAGAAAGAAGAAGATAACAGAAATTTCGAAACAGCTAATCTCTAATAAGGGATCATAATAAAAGTATTCAAAACTTTGTGTAGAATCAAATGATTTGATAACTTGTTTAATTCCAGAATAAAAACATTTATAAATGGCTGTCATAAACAGAAGAGTTGTAGGTGTGATTTGGAAGAATGCTAGACCGGGGCTAAACCATGACATTTCAGTGGTTCGTGAAGGTTATTTATTTCAACACATAGATATTGGTACCAAACACATATGCGTCACACAGATCTCCTTCGATATGTGTGAGGGCCGTGATACTGCTCGGGTGCCCAAACCGAAGCAGGTGGTTTTCTTAGGGAGTCATGGGACTGCATCTCTTGACGTTGCTCCACTACCTTGTAGATCAGACTTTTAGGTTGAAAGCTCTGGGTGTGGCCCCCTAAGAAAATCACCTGCTTCGGTTTGAGCACCCTTGCAGTATCGCAGCACTCACACAAATCGAATGATTTATGTGGCGCAAATATGTTTGGTGCCTCCTTCGACCTGAAGATCTGATCCACAAGGCAGTAGAACATCGTAAGGAGATGCAGTCCCATGGTAGTCGGTGACCAACGACTGGTTCATACTCCATTTGTTCCCTCAGGATACTGGAGCCCATGTGCACCATTGGTTTTGAATGAGGGTTTTCCAACTTCCCTAGGTGGAACCTCCATATCCACCAACCTGGTTAAATCTCCGGACATTCGCTTTTCGTCCTGTCAATTTCGTAAACAACAGCGGTGCTGCGAGAAGGCAGTGAGTACGACTTGCAGAGGCTATATACGCGTGGCCATGTGAGAGCATTTCAAGAGGGAGAGCGGACTCTCCCCACTCTCGGCCGTACCGGGGCATTTAGGAGTATTGATTGTTGAAGTAAGACGTAATAGTAGGTCCAAATTACCTAGATGAGATCCGCATGATTATTGCAAACAATGGTTAGAAACATTAGTGACATATCTAAATATTAATTTTATTGGCTCAGATGTATTCAGTCGTTCTTTTCCATAAAATCTTGAGATTTTATATATTTAATCTCACTGATTCATTCTTTCTTCTACAATCGTATTATCCTTGCCTAATGTTTAATATGAACACTGATAATGTTACTAATACCACTATGTTAACGTTCGCGTTAACAATTTTATCGGGGTTGCGTTAATATAGTGTTACAACTTGAACTAATACATATATGTGTGTCAAATTCTACGTTGCTTATGACCGATCGGTTTCTATTTTATCTCTCATCTTACTAACTTCACTTAAGCGTCCACCGGTAAAAAAGATCATACGTTTTATCTTAGCTGTGACTTGTTGCTTTCTTCTGAAAAATCTTACACTACAACGAACCAGCTGATCACTAGTACCTGGTTTCTACTGGTACATCAACTGAGATCAATCTGTAACGAATATAAACTACAAATAAAACCAATAATTCAGTGATGGTGTAGAAGACTTGCAGCTCCGGTGGATGATTTTGGTGGAGTTTTGTCCTCTGATGTGGATAGTTTGGTTGTGGAGCTCTCATCGTTCTTATGAACGACATCATCGGCACAAACTTCAGACAGGAGCGAAATGTTAGAATTTCTCCACATAAGGCTCACAGCTTGTTCCGTTGACCTCAAACCTTCAGTGTAAAACGAATAATTCAGTTCATTTAGTGTTAAATAACCCGTCCGTTGCTGCTACCTTGACGTGGTGGTGTCTAACTAAATCTCAGCACGGATTCCAAAAGCTCGTTTGGCTTTTGCTAACTTACGTCACCTATGGAGAAGGTGAGATATCCGTCTATCAATTAAAGGAATGAGTATACCTTACAGCAGTTAGTTCTGTTCCACTTTACGACAGCGAAACATGGCCATTAAGTGTAGAAGATATTTGTTAGCTACTACTATTCGACCACAGATGTCTTAGGAATATCGCTTGCATCTGCCGTGGTCATCAGGTTAGTAATAGTGAGGTTAGATAGGGTATTAGGGGATGATAGTAAATCAGTTGATGAGGTTGTGAATCTTCATCAACTGAGATGGATGGGTGACGTGTTGCGTATGCCTGAGCATCGATTAGTATGACGCGCAATGCTGATTAGTGTTGGGGATGGTTTGAAGAAAGTTAGGGTTGGCTAAACCGAAACGTGGCATCAGTCATTGAAATCACTAACTGCTAGTCTTAATCATGTTGGTAGATGCAGACTACTTGGTCGGGATCCGCCAGACTATCGTAACCAATGATTGGAGACTCTTGGTGACATGGCTGAGAATTGATCACCATGGCGTAGGTGTATACACTTTTTGTCTCTTCTTTAAACTCTAAGATTACAATTGCTTTATATCTTTCATTCTACCAACTAATTCTTTCTTTCCGGACTATATCTTTATACTATTGAATTAACTTCTATGAATCCGGTTTTCATCTTTCTATGTAAATGAGATAATGACAACTTGGATCAATGCATATATATGTGCTTGGTCCTACATTGTAACTGACTGACTGAATGTTATGGAGATAAATGAAAATAATCAAATGTATTATTTATAATTATGTAATATATCTACTTACTATGTCGTTTATTTAAGAACTTTTGAACTGTTTCCAATTGAATATCTTTGAGATTATGCTGTTCATTATTGATAATTGAATTCTATTGAATCAGAAATAAAAATTTATTTATACTTAAGTTGTCTATTCATTAATAATGATTAAATAATTCTTATTTATCTATTTATTGGAATATCTCAAAGGGGCATCGAATACATAGGAGCCAAAAAAGTCACTTGGTCGGTGCGAGTGCTGTGATATTACCCTAATGCTCAGACCGAAGCAACTAGTTATCTTAGGAGGTCGCGCCCGGAGCGTTTGACCTAAAGGTCTGATCTACAAGGCAGTGGAGCAACGTTAGGAGATGCAGTCATATGGTAGACGGTGAACAACAATAAGTTCATATGCCATTTGTTCTGCTCAGGATCCTGGATCCCATATGTATCACTGGTTTGAAATTAAGGTTTTCCATCTATCTCCTCTAGGTGGATCCTTGGTATCCATCAACCCGGTTACATTTTACATAATAAACATTATGTTTTTCTTATTACATTATAATTGTTAAAATGATATTCACTGATACAAACTGCTATGATTTACTACTATTAAAGTAATGTCAAACTAAGCTATTTTGGTTGAGACCTCCTTTAAATAACAACACATTGCTTTAATTAGGGTATCTACGACGATTCGTGGACAAGGAACTTCCTTCATTCGAACCATGAGAGACACTCTAAAATGCGAACAAACTGTTATTCAAAACTTTAGATGACTAAAACGTCCTCAAATTTATATCAGTCATTTGTAATGGAAGAGGATAAATTACAATAGTATACTGCCTTTTTTTCATGATGTATGTGTTGTCTTAGCGAAATAGTCTGATTATGAAGCTTTTTTTGTTGTTGTTGTTTCAAGCAACATCATCAATACTCATTGGATGTAGAAATTCACTATTTCATTTCAAATCAATGATCTGAGTTGATTTCAGATCATTTTTGAATATGGATAACTTGAACAAATCATCATAGAAAACAATTGAACGAAGAGATTAACATGCTTTTGATCGAATCTGATCTAATTCAATGGATTTCATATGTATATCATATTTAAAACTATTTTTGACAAACAGTAAACTGATACCTTTGTTTTTCAAGTTCATTTAATCGTTTTTACACTCACTTCTATGAGTAGCTTTCAAAATAAGTAAAGCTTATCAAAGAAATGTTCTAAGCATAAACAATCAACAACTCAACTTATTTCAATCGTTGAGATTATGAGTCAACTGAAGCTAGACAACCATGGAAAACGTGGAAGCATTCAACTTATGTTGAAATTGTCATAACGCTTCAATCTCATAGATCTGCTTGTATTGTAATATTTTTTTTAAAAACCACTAGACACTTGTTCGACACATGTCATCATTTGAGTTTCTTCATGATCTACTTATAGTTAACCTCATTAACTACTAACTGACTGATATCTTATTGATGATAGGTGTCTTCGAAACATTGCTCGTATGTCCTGGGACCATCGAGTAAGTAACACAGTTGTTAGGAAACGGGTATTAGATAAGGATGGCAAATCAATTGATGAAGGAATGAAACTTCATCAGTTCAGATGACTAGGACACGTGTTACGTATACCCAACGACCGACTGCCTCGACGTGCCATGTTCAATGGTATAGGAGTAGGTTGGAAGAAAGCTAGGGGTGGCCAGAACAAAACATGTCACAAATCCATGAAGTCACTGACAAGTGGACTGAGTCATGTTGGTAGGTGTAGACTATCTGGTTGGGGACCGCGAGATGATAGCAACCGATAGTTAGAGACCTTGAATGACATGGCTGAAAATCGTTTGCAATGGCGCAGGTGCAGGTCCTCACTTTGTGTTCTCCCAAATTGTAGTCTTCTGAATTCTTCATGTCCCTTTTTTCCTCTTTCCAAATTTATTTCACTGTATTATACTCTTTAAATAACATCTCCAAACCCTAATGTTTCCCGTTACTGCTTATACTTTTACTACCTCTACCACTACGGGATTTGAGTCGACCACTGCATCTCTGTGCTAATGTGGTGTGGCAACTCGAACTGATGTACGTACGTACGAAGTTCTACATTGTTACTGACTGACTGACTGACTCAACAATCTATTTTACATCACAACAATGCACATATACAAGTTAATCAAAATTATTAAGATCTAACAAAAATGCTGTATATGTATATATCTAAAGAATTGTGTTTAGCCATTACTTACATTATAAACTGTATTCATATAACCTTCAAGTAAAGGTTCTCTTTGATACAGTGATAATTGTCCATACATGGAATATTTACAAAATCCCAATACATTTGGCATATCAAATTGAATCATTAATGGAGTTTGCATTATTAAATTCACACGTTCCTAAAATCAATCAAATTGTTATACGAATCATTCTTTATACTAAAAAAAGGAATCAGTGTATTGTATGTTATCAATTATTATCAATCAAAATGAAACAGTCTAACTGGAATAAGAACAGGAAGAAATGTTTTCTTGCAAGTTAAGTGATATCCTGCAGGAATTGATACTGATAGATGAACAATACAGTTCATTTCAGCTGGCAAACAATTATGTATCCAACTGTGTGTAGTGACCCATGTTTATCAAGAGAACGCGATTAGTTTAATGGAAACAATTATTATTATAACTAATTGTACCAGTGATTGTTTTACTGTACTTGTTTGTTTGACTGTACTAAAGACATTCTTTTTCTCCGTTGATTGTGACCTTGCACGGATTCGGTTATGCTCAGTAACCATGCTTGTAACCTGGTACGATCTCGGTATTCTTTCGATACCACGAGATCGCCAACAAATACATCTCAACGCCACCCAACATGTGAAACACAGTTTGTGTGAAAATTAATGACACTTCGTGGTTAATCAGATTGATTCAGATATGAAATGGAATCAAAACATTCAATCTACTGGATGAAAAAGCGAGTGGTGATCAATGAGTTAGTTATAACCAACATGGACAATAACACAAATATGAGTTTCCCGAACTTTTCAATTTTGATAGTTAATATGATCTTCATTCTGATTAATTAAAAAGCTCAAATTTATTGCAGTCTGATGATCATTTCATCATCAAAAAGTGTTAACCAAAATTGAAAATATAAAAAAGGATACCACCATCTATCTTAGATTGTAATGATGATGATGAGCACAGTTTTCAACGGTTACTTGCACAATATCTAATTGTATGTATGTGCTTATTTTTCAAATGTCCGTTTAAATATTTTATTGTTGATGTCTTTGTTCAATTGAACTCTGTTTATTCTCCTTCTTTAAAAACCGTCAGTTTTAACTCATAGTTGTTGAAATTACGTAAGTCAACCTATGTCATTCCCAGCAGTGGTCTATGGTTTTTGGTGAACGAAAACATTTATATGTATGTTCCCTTTTGTTTTTACTTTGCCGTATGTTGATTTGTATAAAGCTGAGGATCGTCTATGCCATTGGTGATGAGTATATATTATTATTATTATTATTCAATCATAATTATGGTTATTCCTTTAATTAAATAAATTCAAATGAGGAAACATACAATTAAGCTTAAAGTAAACACAATTAGCTCGTTTGCATTAGATGTTTGAATCTTTTCACCGATGTTTAGAACTGAGATTGATCTATCTTTTTTAGCATTTATACATCCTATGTAGAAGATTCAAACAAACAACATGAATGAATTAAAATTCACTCCAGCACGTGAGTCCCTGTCTGCCCAAACTAAATAGCTAAGTGACTGATGAAATGACGTTTAAAACAGATGGTACCGGATTCGAATTTAGGAGTGAACATCAATTCTGAGGCCCAAATACATTCAGTCGAGAAGTCCCGAATAAGATGAAACACAAATTTTCAATCCCATTTTCTGGCCGTCATCAAACCCGGCTTATAACGTTTATGACTTAATGACTATATCAAGGTGACCCGTACAGGATGTATATATACTAAAAAAGACAGATCAATAGCAGTCCTAAACATCGGTGGAAAGATTCAAACATTTGGTGTAAATGAACTAACAATATTTACTTGAAGCTTCATAATACGTTTCCTCATTTCTATTCATTTAATTAAAGGAAGAATCGTAATTATGGTCGGATAATGATGATAACAATATGTACTAATTACCAATGGCATAGACGCTCTTCAGCTCTTTTTGAATTTTGTTGTTAATCAACACTGCTGAAGAGTCCCATACCAGGACGAAACGGCCGTCCAGTGCTTTCAGGTTTTCCATGGTGGTCTAGCTTCAACGGACTCATGATTTCAATCTGTGAAATTTCTAAAACTCTTCACAAAACCCATTCTGAGATTAAAAGTTATAAACTAATTTTACTTACATTCAATTGATAACTGAATAGTAATAATATATATAAGCTGTTTATTTTATCTTCAATAGGAATTTGAAATTTCAATTTTAATTTATCATATATTCCATCATAATCATCATCTAATTGTTGAATAGACATATGTGGAATAATAAGATTTGAAGATAGTTGATTATTTAAATCTGTATATGTACTCCATGCATAAATGGTTTGATGTGATCCTTTCAATTCAATATAGAGTTGTTTTAAAAAACGTATTTGAGGTTGTTCAATATAAATTGAATCCCGTAACCAAAATCCTTCATATCATAATAATGTTTTAATGAAAAGAAAATGTGTAAAATGTTTAAAATACAGACAATATTCAGTTTGGTTACTTAGTTAAATTATACTAATCATAACCCTAACCAGAGATCTTTTAACACTGAGCTATCCGGATCAGAATCACACATAACTAATTCAATAAATGTATCTCTTACTAGTCGCGATTAGTAGTTTGAGGTGTTGTAACATGTGACTCAGAATCGGTCACATTCGCTTATATGCATTCTCTTTTTATCTTTGCTAAAGGTTTTGGATTTGATATTACTTCGTCCTTTTTCCTCCTCAAATTCGTCCTTTCTTTTTAAACCTCGTTTTGTAATATCTCATATTTCTTGCCATCAGTGGTATCATTAATCACTCTGTGATTCTACTATGTATATTAGTAATTCCTTCATATCATGCTGGTGTATTGTGACAACTCGGGCTGATGTGTACTTATACATCAATCCACGTTGATTGTGACTGACTGGCTTAAGTAGTTATGTCTTAGCCCGAATGTATGTTACTTCTAAAAAATGATAGATGCGACGATCATCGTTCACGTTGAGAATACTTTTCTCATCAATAGACAACTCCAAAGTTGAATCTAAGTTATTTGTTTAAAGAAATACGGAAATATTTCCAAAAATTAATTCCATAACTTTGTGATGTTGTTACTAATTTACCCGGCAAAATGCCTGTGCACAATAAACTCAATAATATGAGATGGCTTTCTTTGTGGAGATTGTAGTAATTTTAGTGGTCTAGTGATTAAGTGCTCGCGCGCGAAACCAGTAGGTCCTTGGTTCAAATCTCGCAGAGAGCGAGGTCGTGAATGCGCACTGCTGAGAAGTCCCACAATAGGACGAAACGGCCGTCCAGTGCTTCCAGGTTTTCCATGGTGGTCTAGCTTCAACTGACTAATAAACTCAATAAGCCTATAGTAGCCGTGCTACCATCTAACGCGAACCTAAAGTCACGCTCGAGAAATTATTTATTTGTTTCTCCGCTTAAATGATGTTTCGAGGCAATCATCTGTAACCCTAAAATTATCACTTACTCTTACACCAACAAGTTGATTTGTCTATTCAAATAGGCGTTTATAGAGGAATAGTATACAGGACTCAAAGACACTGAATATCATGCACATAATCTACGATTATCCAGAACAACATTTCAGAAAGCAGTGCAGTAAAAAATAACCACACAATCCTAAATAGTTACAGTTAATTTACACAGGACTAATGAATGAAATATTTATCTCAAAAAAGCAGCTTTTTATCACTGAATATGATCAAGTCTAAATGTATTCAACTCCTAAATTGTCAACACAATTCCAGTAGATATGGTTTTTGTAGGTCCAAGTAAAGCCTTCATTGAACTTACTCACCTTGGTTTCAATTTAAAGTTGTGAAACTTTGGAATCAGTTATAAAATGAAAGATAGAATAATTGACTTCTCCAGTGACATAAGGTAACGGTTTAGAGTAAACAGTGCTTTATCATCATGAGAATTTTTGAAGAGTAGAATTCTATTGTGTTCGTGTGAACTAATGATTGTTTTGTACTCAATTCCTCGTTGATTTTGAATTCTAAATGCAATGCATTCGGTTGTGCTCACTTAGTTCTATTTGGCCTAATTTGCACTGTTCCAGGAATTCCTAGTTGATGCAATAATTCGAATACTTCCAATTATTATGAATTTCTCAAAGGAAAATCCTAAGCCTCTTTCATTTTTTAAAAGTGTGCAAGTGATTTACCAACTGTTGCAAAGTTATCTGTTATATTTTTGCTGATGATACTAAAATTTGGAAATTGATACAGAACGTAGTTTATAAGGCAGGATTACAGAAAGACTTAGACAAACCAGGTAAGTTGGCGAATAGATGGTCATTCGAAACAAAGTCAAGAAAGTGTAGCAATGTAAATCAGTTGACGAGATGATTTATATAAATACTCAACAAACAGAGTAGTAATGACTGTAGCTGTGTATAAATCCCAGGAACAAATAATTAACCCATCTACAATGATCCTGACCTCATTAATTTTACTGGACACACTCTAGCTAAAGGAGATCGGTCACGCATCCACACCAGATCACGAGAGGACACTCTGTCCTACACACCCATCAAAACTACTAACCGGCTTGAGTCAAAAATGTCTTTGAACTTCGTTATTCTTGACTTCGTTTCTAGTGGGTTGGTATTTTTTTTATTGTAAATGGGTTACGGACAAAAGCATCGTCAAAACCTGAAAATCTGTGGCCTCTTTATTTCCAATTTGATTCTAGAGACGACAAAGGTACGTAAAACGATATAAAAACCTGAGACATAAACATAAAACAATAATTAAGTAGATCTATCAGTTTATAATTAACTGGAATCAAAGGATGGAATAGTATATAGTATATACATATGTAGAAACATATGTTTGTACATATGATCACCAGCATATCGTACTTCCCGCAGAATAGATAAACGTAGGTCGTGAAGTTGAAGAAAAAGCTACCAAAATAACAATCATGAGGGAGGAATGCCGTTTGCGAAACTGAGTTATCAAAAGTTATTATATAATTTGAGGGAAAGCATGATAATTTGGGGGAAATTTCGTGGATACCGCACCATAATATTACGAGAAACATTTGACGAAACGCGCCAAAAGACTCGAAAATTCCTCAGGTTTGTAAACACTACTCAAACTTTCATGTTATACAAGTTGAAGTTACGTTCACTAATTCCCCAAGCTCCCAACTTTGGGGACATTTTAGAGAATTTTGGGAAATCTCCAATGTCTTGGATCCGGTTAAACTTTTGGGCTTTTGTGCCATTTCCCCGAAATTTCCCCAAAGTTTACTATAGCGGCTTCCCCAAAATGGGTCAAATATTCCCAGAAATCGGGAGCTTGAGTCACCCTAATAATTTTCGGTAACTTACCACCTGAACGATAGCATATAAAGAAAGGAACTATAAGAGAAGTTATAGTTATGATTAGCTGGAATGCTGTCCCAATGTGAAAAAACGGAAAGTGTATCTCTCTCAACACTGGACAACGATATATTTCAAGAAGCGCCATCAGTAATCATAACTACGCCCGTTATGTTTATCGATTTAAACAAGATATCAAAAAGATCTGTGTCTGTCAAATTAAAATAACTCCTCGGTGTATCAAGTTTTGTCTTTCTGTTTCACTCTATAAAGCGTGGATAATTATGGGTTTCTTTTCAAGATCTTTGGGTAGACCAACCCTCAAACTTTTGGAAATATTTCCCTGTGCAAAGTTAAGATCTCAGTCGTGAAATGCCCTGTTCTATCCCAGCATTTTGTGGATGATATGTTCCTCTTACGTAAGGGTTTGGGAATCGAATAAAAAGTTACCTATTGTAAGGGATCTACTCCACTCACACATTGCGGAGACACATGACTACGGCTATGAGGGAGTTACTACGAGAGTTAACGCAAATCACTATACGGTTTGAGCAAGAGCTCTACTAAATAAAGTCTAAAAACTGTGAAATTCACTGCCGGAAGCAATAGCTTAGGCATCACCTGTAGTTCCCAAGGGACTGAGGGGAACTGCTCCTGGTGCCTTACACAAACTTACATTTTATTATGAGGAACTCACCATATTTTAAGTCTCTGTGAGGTCAAAAAAAAATTCTGCCTCCTTGTATCCACGATGCTTTTCCTTCACCACAAGAGCAAATCTAAGAATGATGCTTGGAGAACAGAGAATTCTGTTACTTGCTCACCCACTCCACTGTGGAGGATTTCAACTTTATTGCTGTTCTTTCGAGGCTGACACGTCATTTTCATCTGCCACTATATCCTCTGCGTACATGAAGTCACCGTTAACCCATAAATAATCGAGACAAGTAGGATAGAAAACAAATGGTGTTTAATATCATTACCAGAGTTATGGGAAAATCATTAGACTAATATTCGAGACACCGTCGAGAATTTTAACGTAGAAAAACTCACGTATATTGTACATTCTGGGGATTATGTTTCCATTTTTTACAGAACAGTGTGGGCCTGCAAATTTTGTTTTTTTCTGACTTTGTTGTCTCATAGATCTCATGTTAGGATGCAACTGGCCAGAGAAGTTACTATTAGTTGGATTTAGTAGATCTAAGAAGTCAGTTTGAAGAAACCACATGTATTCAGGGTTCGACAACGCTTTAACCAGTAACTCCTTCTACTATGAATCGTACCCACCAAGTGAAATCAAAAGATAGAAGCCAGGAGGTTCGAAAATATATTTGATAGGCTATAAATATATCGGGCATCGACTGATCTAATCCGGCTAGCGAATGAAGGGGATGTTGAGCACGGCATTCACACTCGTGATCTGGTGCGGATGCATGACCGAGCGCCTTCAGCTAGGTGAATGCATCCAATGGCGAAAACTTACAGAGATACTTGTTTACCGCCACAATGTATTCAAGTAAACCCTATTTGATCTTTGGAGGACAGAACTTGGTGGAATGGGGGCTATATTCCGCAGAGAACAGTAAATCACCAAATTTTATGCTTCTTAGCTTCCAGACCAACACAATGAATCTCCACAATACTGTTATGAAAAAGGCCGTTTTGATTAGGTAGTCAAAAACTGCCGTTTGTGAATGTCTCTATCACAGGAAGTAAATCTTAGGGACTAAATATATTGTCGACCTAAATGAACCCATTCAATGCCTTCATCACCAAAATCTAGTTATTTGGTCACTTGTTTTCTATTTCATTCTGTTAAACTTTACTTGTTTAAGAATTGATGGAGAAGTCGGACAAAGTATTTCCGTGCCTCCAGATACGCTCCTAAAGGACTCACTCTCAAAATCGATAGTAACATGTGATATTTGCAGATGATTATGTCTACCGTAGCTAGATCGACTTCATTCGCAACTTTACGTTCAAACGACTTATTACGTTTTTTTATTATTAAACTAACTATTGCTTATTGACCTGACTACATGTCTTGTTTAGATACCGCTCTTGTGGTGGGTAATAATGATACTACTGCAGAGGCTTAGTGTCTGTGACGTAACGTATTATAAGATATAGCTTACCACGAATGTGTATTAAGTAACTACATTACCTTATATTAACTGTTTAGCATCCTGTGATAAGTAGCAGTATTCAAATTAATGTTCTAAGAATTCCCGAAATGGTTCAGTTTGAGGCAGGTAGGACTAGATGAGCACAACTTAACACATTATATTTGGAATTGGTAATTAGCGCGCAGATGATTACAAAAGAATCACCAGTTAGCGCAAGTTCAATATGCATACACACTTATCACTTGAAACTTGATGTGGAATAGAATTTGGGTAATTTGGAGATAAAAATACCTATAAATAGTCAGTGTTTCCTTATTACTACAACAGATTCAGTAACTTAATCCAGTAGATAACAAGGTAAGATAAGAATCCAGTCCGATGTAAAACATTCTGACGGAAATTTATCTACTGCTGCTTACTGTTCAGTCTGCAATGGCAAACACTGAAATTGTTCCGGGTGTAAGAGAAGCTCTCGCTTAACGGGCTTCCGTATCTAGTAGCAGTAGATCACTGATGTCTCCAGGTAAAAACTCAAGTATGTTTAACTATAAAAGAGAAAAAGATTGGTAAATTATGGTGAGGTACTGACCTTAGTCCATAAGAATGTGGCACATTTTCTCACAAAGGACTTCTTGGAATTCGTTCGAACTGGCTCATCCGGCAGCGAATCCTGTCACTTGACTACTCTTAGGTGTGTCTGCAGTCTGCTCCACAATGTTGTACCTCCAGTCTCTGGGTGTTATCTCTAAGGACCGTGTTGGGATTAAGCTTAGGTAGGTGTTCAAAGGGATGGTCGGATGTGTTTAAAATGCTGCAATTCATTAGAATGCCACCTTGAAGACGCCTGTACCTTAATGAGCAAATGTACATTGATTAGAGATGCTCTTCACAAGGCTTGAATTTTAGTCAGCGGACTGATTTTGTGTCGCAGTTAGCGTAGAACTTCGAATCATAGGGTACCACACTCTTGGACTTCTTTCAACTTGGAATACTTCTAGAAAGGAGTCACCTAATTTGTATTGGTGGTCTGCAGCATGTCTCACATGGACTACTGATCATCTCTTAATGTTAATAATAGGTTTGTTGTTCGTCAAACTTTGAAGTAGATTCAGATTCCCCTGAAGTGCCAGTTTATCCTCTTGATTACAAATTTTTCTCCGGAGTTCCACACCACCAGCAAAAAGTAATATGTCTGACGATATCTGCTGGGGAAATCTTTTTTGTAAATTAAGTAGAGGTCCTGGTATTGAACTCTAGGAGACTCCATTAGGACATTCCGTAGCCCGACGGTGAAGTCAACCCCGATCTTAAAATATCCATTATTTAGATGCAACGTAAACTAATCAATTGTTGTTGATTTGTAACCTAAACGTTTGAGCTTATCGATAAGACATATATAGTCGGCTCTATAAAAAGCTCTCGCGAATTCAAGACACATGACTTTAACTTTCTCCCTACGATCAAGGATGTTTGTTCATCCGCCTACAGCAGTCAGCAATTCAGTTATACAAAGGTGACCCTCTCTGACACCGTGCTATTAGGGTGGAAAGAAGTTCATGGATAGTAAATAGTCGTGGAAAAACGTAAGGAGATGTAGTCCCATGGTAGCCTGTGACCAATTATTGGTTCATAAGCCATTTGTTCCCTCAGGATCCTGAAACCCGTGCCCACAATTGACTTAGAATAAGGGTTGAATACAAGTAAATAACAATTCAGAATGATAATAATTGAGATCAGTCAGTTAAAGATGAGATTTACAACAAAATGGATTCATTTTATTATTCGTGGCTTTTCATTAGCATCAAACTATCTGACCACCTTACATGTAATTTCATACTATTTGGGAACGACACATAAGTCAGTAGGAAAAAGATACAAACTATTTGATCTGGTAGTTAATGTTCATGTTGTAAATGAGACTGTGTAACGAAGTGGTTGATCTTATAAGCACAAAACAATAGATCAGAGTGAAAAATTAGTTTCACAATTGAGTAATCATACAATGATGCCAAATATGTGAAATGTAATGTAAATTAACGTCATAAATGGGTGTCAGTGGATTGTTTATATATAATATAAAATAAAACGAACGAGCGAAAATCACACCACTTAAATTATTTCACCATGTCAATATGAGATTTACTATATTTGTGTATACAAATTTCAGATTAAAAGCTCTTGATTTTAATAGCCTGTTCAAAACGTCCACTATCCATCAAGCACTCAGTGATCGTGTTGAGACGATCGTCATTAGTCTTGGCTGGTCGAGTAGAATCAAATAAATGATTCTAGATATTATCAATACATATGAATGATTAGAGAGCGTACAGACGACTACATAGATTTAGCTATATGTATCGTGTCTTTATCCACAAGTGGCATTTTGCGCACTCAACAACCGGAGTGCACACAAACAATATTGAAACCATGTGATCGAGGCTGAAAAAGTTGTTACATCCTTATCATGGCTCCAGAGGTCGACTATTATGAAGCCATATGGATGTGTTCCTCTGCCGCTTACATTATGATTTTAGAATTTCTGAACCACTTTCTAATCTTGACGAGTTTTTTTAACCATGTTAAAGAAGTGTATTCACTTTAATTCTTTGGTTTTTAATCAATACTGACTGTTTTTTGATAGGCTAATATTTCCCAAGGTCATTTAGGATTCATTTAAAGGTCATCCATAAATTATAGTCTCACTTTGTTTTCTTATTAATCACTTTCTGCTCTCATTCTCTTTTCTTCAATCTTCTTAAACTTTTGACGCTAGATATTTTACTTTTGACTGATGATATAAACTACTTATATCTATCGATATCAGTAGTACATAACACAATAACTCTAAGATGTCTTGATTTCATGATTTAAACATATCTAACTAATTTTCAATAAGAAATTCATTCTGGATCTTTTAATAATTTATATATCACAAAATGAATAACATGATAATAAAGACTCTCATGATAAATTTGGAAGTACTGAATAGACATTTCATCCTAGTAAGAGACTCTTCAGTAGTGAG